TGTAAATGTTTCTTTCGAGTAGATAGAGATATTCTTCGGCCATCGTCCAATTTTCCAAATTGACGCGATATATTGAGCTACAATTTATTTATATCGAAAATAATAAAATTATACGAATAAGTCCAAAGAATGACGCGGGAACGATAAAAGCGGGAATCTCTATGGCGTCGAAATCTCCGCAACCCTCCGATCCATCCGAGAACACGACCAATCCGTCCGATCAATCCGTGGTTGGAGCAAAGAAAGCCAGCTCGTTTCGTGTAACGTTTAATTGGAGCGGTCGGAAACGAGTATTAATTTACCTTCGATACGTGTCGGCAATAACGACATTGATACACTTTTTGCCGGGCCCCAGGGGGGCAGGGAACTAATTTCAACTTAATCGTCGTCTTATCGCAATTTACCGAGTATAAGTGAGCCTTAATTGACTCGATTGCTCTACAAGGACTGGTTGTTCCCGGCGAAGCAGCGGGCACAAAAGGCGCTCGCCCGCAAAAAAGTTCTCTTCAACGAGCATTTCTTGGTCGTGGAATGTCGAACGGCTCCGCGGTTCCTAGAACGTTCGTCTCATCGATCGTCCCGATCTCTTTCCGATCATTGGGAGGAAAAATGGCCTCCAAGGGATCGATGACGACGCCCTGGAATTCTGACACCGGAGAGGCAGATCGAATCGGGGGGATATCGGGGGCATTCGTACTCGAGTTGCTAATCCCTTTTGAATGAGTCGTGTTTACAATGAATTATCGTATTCCATATCGTATACGAGAATGAGAGAATTACACATAACATAAACGATCGTGTATGGTCGTGATAATATACCTCGTCAACAAGCCTTTCGTAGGACGGGGAAAAGAAAAAAAGATCGTTGCGTGAAGAACTCACTTTGTATCTTCTCGTTGTCTTCGACCTCGGAAAGATCCGTGTCCCCGACATCGACCAAACTCCGGATACTGAAGACGCTTTTCGCGACGCGGGTCTTCTGAAGGTCTGCCACACCCTCCGTTATTCTTCTCGGCGTCGTACTGAGATCCATCGTTGCCCGCCGCGACGATGTTTTCACTGGTCGAATCGTGGCGAAGGGAAGAACAGAGGCATGTATGGATCGACGTCCCTTTCACAACGTACGACGATATTTCACCGTTCTTTCGTCGGTCCGCATCGTAAACACCGCGTAGTAATAATCGATAATCTTTAACGATTCGTATCGGTACTTCGTGATCCGATCTTTTATTATTATCGCCGAGTGTAAAAATAATATCGCTCTACTCTTCACTTTCCGTGTTTCGAAAACTTCTCGTGCTCGAGGAGAACTCGAGAGATTGTTCGTAGAGAGACATTTGTCGTTCTTCAAGACACAGTTGAACAGCTCGTGACGAACGTTCGGAGGAGGTTCGACGGTTCGTTTGCAACGGTCGTTGGTCGTCGACTTGACGATTTCGACGAATTGGTTTCGCGTATACGAAACCAGCAAACTTGAAATGTGTGGTCGCCACGGGCGATACGAATCGACCATGTGCTCTTCTTATCGCGTTTTCGAATCGAATATCAAATTCTTATCGATCTCCTTCGATCGAGTACACGGGAAATTTGATATTTATCCTACATTTAAGCGTAATCAATCAGTTCGATTCAATTAGATTTTGCGACTCGACGAATTTACACATTCCGATTTCGATTCTCGCAAATCTGTTGCTCGATCTCGAAAATTCTACTATCCTTGGAAATTCGGTTGAATCCATATCCTCTTGAGAATCCCGCGAAACGTGGAATGGAAAACGCTCGGCGCGATTGTTAACAGCGACGCGTAACATTGCGCACTAATAGAATCGATGTATCGTACTGCCAGTATATTGTTCCTTCGTACACGATGTTTGTATACGTACTGTAGCGCGTTACCTAATATCAATGGAGCTCGGGGATCGAGTCGTGTTTGTCGCTCGACCTTTCCTTCTGTTGTGATTATCGCTCGATACGAAGAATTTCACGGGAGGCGAATTTATCCATCCGATTCCACGATTGAATCGGATCAATACCTCGATCAATGATCATCGCTTCCTTCTCCCTTTCCTTCTCCCTTCCTCTATCCGTCGATTATACTTCTCATCAAACTCTCCAAATATCTATCACATTCCTTTCCTTTCTTTTTCTTTTCCTTCATTTCCACATTTCAACAGAGAGAACAAGAATTGCTCGACGACACGACGAAAGATCACCAAAAATCGATGGCCGACGGAATCACGGTTGGTCTCGAATCGAATCGGTTCGACGGAGCGGGAAAAAAGTGAGAATATCGCGCGACTTGACAGTTGTCGACGAAGGGTCGAAGGAACAGGTGAGAATGACGAAGCCGCGGATTCCACGGAACCACGCGACGAACGGATACGAGAAGCGGCAGCAAGCACACGCGTATCGCGAACTCCTGTTCGGCAATGTTCGCGTCCGAGTTCCCTCCACCTCGAGGAGGGTCGATCGTGTCCCAAGGTGGTACCACCTGGTAGAGGGGAAGGTGGAACACCGAGACCGCCCTCCTCGAACAAAATGGAGGTTTTCTCGAGGTTTCAACTCCGCCTACCATGGTCCACCCACGTCGTTTCTCCGTTGCTTTGATCGACCTCTCATTGTCCGACTACCACCAAACCATTTCTCCCTCTCTTTCTCTCTCTCTCTCTCTTCTCTTAGCCTCGCTCGAATTTTTCGACTAGCGTCCGTCCATCGCGAGAGATCGAAGAACTTTGCGGAGAACCGCGAGATCGTTCGATCTTTTTTGTAAATTTCGACGATGAACAGTGGGATCGAGGTTCTCCTAGGATGAATGCAGCAAACAATTTTGGACGTACGTCGATTTTTTTCGATTTATTATTATTTTTTTTTTTTTTTTT